AGCAGTTCCTCATGTGATTAGGTCCATGAGAATTTTTGTTTAAGCTGTAATGATAAGAAACCATCCTAGAATGAGGAAGCTATGCTGGGCTGCCCCTTTCAGGCACGGCTGTGAGCGGTGATCGAGAAGTGAGATTAAATAGCTGTGTCCTCTTCCAAGAGGACTTATAAAAGAGTTTGATGGTAAAAGTAGTTTCTCCTTGCCGTTTCATTTTCTGTGGTTTCTGAAAATACTAAATGAAAACATTCCAGAAATGAGCAACTTATAAGTTTTAAATTATGCGCCGTTCTGAGTCTCGTGATGAAATCCCGTACCCCCTGCACCGTCCTGCCCCAGATGTGAATCATCCCTTTGTCCAGCGTCCCCACACTGTAGGTATTTCCTGCCAATTAGTCACTTAGTAGCCACTTGGCTGTCAGATCAACCTTCACAATTTCGTAGTGCTTATGGTCCGGTCATCCTTATTTTGCTCAATAATGGCTCCCAAGCATAAGAGTAGTGATGCTGGCAATTTGGACATGTCAAAGAGAAGCCGTAAAGTGCTTCCTTGAAGTAAAAAGCTGTGCACGCATAGGAAAACACACAGTACCTATAGGGCTGGTACTATCTGCAGTTTCAGGAATCCACTGGGGGAGGCAGGTCGGATCTTAGAACATATTTCCTGTAGGTAAGAGGGGACGACTGTACCATGGTATTCAAAGAGTTGAGGAAAAGCAGACTAAATCTTAGGAGGCCAAAAGTTGGGGAGAGTAGTTAATCTCCCAAGAAGCCAAGGGCGGGGGACAGATCTGCAATAATTGCAGGGACAGGAAAGGTCTGAATAGGTGTCTTGCATGTTTCACTATATTGACACATGGGAAATATGCCAATCAGTAAGATCTGGGGTGTTGTCAAAGACACATGGGCAATGACAGGTCTCATGCTGAATGAGAAGTCTGACATTTTAAAGACCTACTAACACTGATTTATTTGTCAGAAAAGCAAGTCTGGGAATTGTTTATCATGCATGCAAGTACGTGTGTATGTTTAATACTGGGAAAGGTATACATGATTGTTTCTCTAAAAAGAAAAGAACCCCAAGGTCAAAGAGGGAACAGATTCGGCCCAAGCTTTCCCAAAATAAATAAGTAAAGAGCACACAGGAAAAAAATGATCTCTGGGTTGTAGCCATGTACAAAGTACTTAAAAATAGAGATGTTGTAACATTTAACCATTAGCGAATACTTTTTAGCAGAAGACCAAATGCATTTGTAACAACTAATTGTTATTTCTGACTATGTTTAAATCTATTTCTTTACATGATAAAATGTGATCTCGCCTTCCAATCAAGGGATATGAGTCCCAACATTATTATTTCTCTAATATAACCACACTTTCAGTATGTAAATCAAACCATTTACAAAATAAGCCGATATAAAAACAGTATGTTCTTGAAGGTCCCATCAGCCTTAAAAATGCACCAGAAATGGAAGGTAGTTTTTCAGTATCTTCTTGTGTTTGGTGGAATTGAAGTGATCTCGCGTATTTCTTTTGGCCAATTGTACTTAGTTTTTCTGCACTATTAGAAACAACTGATAAGCGGAACCTGGCCAGTCAAACCTATTGATGGGAAGGAACTTTTAAATCCATCAAGTGACTCTGTCAACATAAGCTTTTGTCTGCAAATGTTCTTTTCTGGTTCCTGGAGGGTGAATCTCATCACAGTAAAATCATTTTTTTTTTCTTCTCAATAATTTAGTTTGTAATTCTCTTTTATGATTTTCTGTCATGACTTTATTAGTCACTTTTAAGTTAAAAGTGCTGCCCAATGGCCCCTGTGTTGGCCGAAGTTCAAGCACAGCCAAGAGCTGGTTTAGCTGAAGGAAAATTCCCACTAGTTGAAACCAGATTCTGACTTGGTCTCTTTTTAGAATGAGCCTTTTAAATACAGCTCTGCTTTCAACAAAAATAAAAATAAATAAAACAATTCTTCCTCTAAAGGGAAGGTAACTGAGGAAAACGATGCCCTTCTAAAGCCTTGACATTTGGGAATAAAGCTTCCCAAGAGACAAAGCCCCAGGGGCCCCCGAGCTTATGCTCAGGACCTCGAATGGTTTACAGGCTTCAATTAGGCTGGTTCGCTCCAGAATCCTAAAAAACCTACGCGTGTCTGCATTGGCAGGATGGACCTTTTAGGTAACTATTGGCTAAAGTGACTAAAGCAAACTTCGGTGGGGAAAAACTCACAATATCTTGTTGCAGATTTGGAGTATGGCAATGGGGGAGACCAGTTCCCCAAAAGCCCATGGTAGAGTCCAGTGCCAATATTTTTGAGGGGCTTTTAAATTATTACGTTTCAATAAGGTGCCGGGTTTAGGACATC